ATGTGGATTTGTTGACGTTCCCCATTAGAGTGTGAACTCCTTATGAACAAAAATTGATTCATTCTTTAAACTTATCCCCTGTGCCTAGCACATTGCTTGTATGTAGCCACTGTGTAGTAAGTGTTCATTGGATTGATTATTGATTGGGAAGTGGGAGGGGCCCTTAGAGCAGAGTATGAAGACTGAGAAAGAACTTAAGAACAGGGGATGTCAGAGCTTGGAGGGGCCTTAGAACAGAGGATGTCAGAGTTGGGAAGGGCCTTTAGAACAGGGGATGTCAGAGCTGGAAAGGGCCTTTAGAACAGAGGATGTCAGAACTGGGAGGGGCCTTAGCACATAGAAGGTTAGGACTGTCATTTGTTTTTACGTGATTGTGCATATTTGTAACAGATTTTGTTTTTTTCTCAATGGGTGAGAGAAGGGGAGATAAGAGCAAAAGGATTCAGAATTGAAAATACAATGGAATTTTTAGAGGAGGTCGCTGCAGCAGTGCAGTATGAGATGACAGGGGCCACCCTGTGGGATAGTGTGTGAGTGGAGGGACAGGGATGTGTGTGAGAGATGGGGGGAAGGGAGAGATGACAAGATTTGGCCATTGCCTGAACGTGGGGAGAGTAGGGAGCAGCAATGGATGCCTCACGCTTCCCCCATTTGGGATTCTTTTCATCTGCTCTACATATATCTTGTAGGTAGCTGGATTTTTACATACCATCTCCTCTGTTAAGATGCCTGGTTCTTGAGAGCAGAGACGGGGTGGGAATGGGTTATTTTGTTTTTGCCTTTCTCTATATCCCCAGTGACTGGCGCAGAAAAAAACACAGTAAATGCTTAGGCTGGGAGGATGGTGGTGCCCCTGACGGTAACAGGGACATTGGGAAGAGAAGGGATCTTAGATTCTATTTGAAGATTTCTTCTCTTTAAGATGAGGAAACTGAGGCCCAGAGGTGAAGTGATCCTTAGGGTTCCAGCGACTGTAAGAAGACAGAGAACCCTTTGATGACATCACAAAGCTATGTGTATTTCACCCAATCCATGGTGTGGCTTAAAATGACTTATTTGTTGTGCGTTGTGAATGGCACCCCTGTGGACCTTCTGTTTCAATACCTCCACTACAGCGTGGTGGCCACCCTCGATTACCATTGGTTCTGTAAATGCATTACCGGCTTCTGGTCGGTGCTACCAAGGCTTTGAAAAGTGTGGGCCCTAAATAAACCGTGGAGTTGTAATCTGAGTGACCAGGCTCTCAGTGATGAGGAGAGGGAGCAGATAAGGGAGGGGAGGCTCGTCACTGGAAGGTCAGCTGCAACAGCTCGAGAAGCCATCATCCACCTAGGCACGGAGGGGTCGGCATCTCCCCCAGTAGAGGGAGCGCCATACTGGATCCACCCAGGGTTGAAGTTTTTGGAGTCTCCTGGTCTGTCTGGAGGCTCCCTCATCCCACCTCCCTTTGATAACGTCTGGAGGGCAAGACCAAACTATACAAAGTATAGAAAACTCTTCACTCAGGGCCCCCATCACTTAAGGTGTGTAGTGAGAGCTCGACGATGACAGCAGTGACACGCCGTTCCCTCGCAAGCTCAGTCAGTGGAGACAGCCGGCGCAGCCAGCAGGATTGACCAGAGCCCAAGCGCCACCAGGTTCTTCCGTGACTCACCCCAGAGACACTAAGAGTCTTTGGAGTGTTGTTAGTTATACTTTTTTCTGAACATTGACTGGTTTTCATCCGACCCCTTCCCAGTCTGTGGGGCCACGAGCTGCCATGAGCGTCAACACTTTGTATAATAACACAGTGGCTTCATCTTGGCCTCCCTCTTCATCCAGGGCTCCATATTTTCAAAGCACTTTGCAGGTGTTAATTTGTTAATTCTCCTGAGATCCCTGTGAAGTAGGTGGGCATTGTCAGCCCCATTTTTGCAGATTAAGAAACTGAGTGGAGCCACTTAGTGCCAGACTTGTAGCTTGTCAGTGACAAAGCGGGGATTAGCTCCACCAGTCCCTCGTTCCCAGCCTCCGCCACTGGCAGGGAGGCCACGCTGCTCCTGCTGGGCAGACAGGGCGGGTTTCCTTAAGCTCTGCCTAATCATAACAGGCCGAGAGAGTGGATCTGGGTCTGAAGTCAGTGTGTTTGTCCCAGCGGAACTGGGGGAACAGGGGAAACAGGCGTTCATGTAGCGCCTTCTGTGCTGAGCCCTCTACCAACATCCCACCTGGTCCTCACAGCAACCCTGAGCAGTAGGTGCCCTTAGGGCCGGCCATGTTCTCTTATGAAGAAGGTGATGCCTTCAGGCTGGGCCCTCACCCAGGGAGGCCCACGCCCAGCCGCCACCATCAGAAGCCCCTTCCAGCGCGTCTCTCTGGATGTGATTTTCAGGATGCAGTAACAGTGAAGACCCAGGACTTGGACCAATCCTTTTTTTCAGGCCCCTGTCTTCAGCTGTTCATCAAGTATGGAAGTGGGGGAGAGAAATGCCTAACCCTGGTCTGTCTTTGTTCTTTGAAAGGCTTATAAGCCACTCTGTTTTATGGGCGTCATGTGTGTGTGACAATTGTGTACAACCCCCCACACTTTTACATGTCTGTTTTGTGTTTAATTTATTGATTTGTTTTTAATCACCTTCATTTCTATATCCTTCCCTCACCACAGAGTCATCCCTTGTCACGAAAAAATTAAAAAGAAAGGGAAAGGGGCAGCTAGGTGGCACTGCGGATAGTGCACCGGCCCTGGGGTCAGGAGGACCTGAGTTCAAATCCGGCCTCAGACACATAATATTTCCTAGCTGTGTGACTCTGGCCAAGTCACTTAACCCCAGTCTCCTCGCCAAAAAAAAAAAAAGAGAGAGAGAGAGAGAGAAGCAGTTCAGGAAAATTAAGCAAGGCATCAGCCAGATTTGACGGCATATGCAGCATTCTGCACCTGTAGTCCCCCACCTCTGTAAAGAAGGAAAGGAGGTACATTATCCCTTTCCTTCTTCGGGGACAAGCTTGATTATTACGATGGCAATTCCGTAATTACACGGCCCTCAGTTTTGGAGGGTTTGTTATTCCCATTCATATTTTTGTCGTCGTGTGTGAGCTCTCCTTGCTTCTGCTCAGTTTCTGTGCCACCCCACGTTTCTCTGTATTCTTCCTAGTCATCACTTCTTATGACGACGTTGCTGCTGCTGCTGCTGCTGCTATGGTTCATCCTCTGTTCTCAAAGAAGACCAAGGACATCACGAGGTGATGTCTTGGCCTGTGCATGAATTAGATTTAAGTGAGGCAGAGTAGTATTTTGTTGGAAAGAGCGCTGGCTAAGAACTCAGGCATCAGCTGTAGGGCCTGTGTTCCAGTCCCACCTCTGACTAACCACAAGTGGCGTGACCTCGGGCACGTCTTTGACTTCCCCGGGCGTCACTTTCCTCATCAGTAAGATGAAGGTGTGGGAGCAGGGGGCCTCTGAGGACCCTCCGCACCCACTTTGATTCTGGTTGTCTGCTCCTCATTCCGCTCTTAAGGCGCGTCCTGGGGAAGTGACGTGTTGTTATCAAGGTCAGCTCCCCTGTGGGACTGTGTCCCAGAACGTGAGGGCTGGGAGGCACCTCAGAGGCCGTCCCGGGGTTTGCCAAGCAGCCCTCTGCGTAATCCTCGGTAAGGATCGTCTGTAACCCCCAGAGTCCACCACGACATCGCAGGCTTTCCCTCATCGGGGCGTCAGAGCACGTGTCCTGAGCGCGAGAAAGTGCAGAACTTAAGCGGTCCGTGAAGTCTGTGGCGGAGAGGGGTCATCGTTGACTGCTGGGTCAGGGAGGCGTGATGGAAGAGACGGCACCTGTGGTGGTCTTTAAAGTTTGGGGAAATTCAGGGGCAAAAAAGGAGGGAGGGAGAACGTTCCCGTTCTAGGTAAAGTCCAAGCGAAGGCTTAGGGCAGGCAGGCTCGTGGTGCCTCCAAGGACAAAAAGCAAACGGATTTGTGCGGGGCAGCACGGGGGGAGTATGATGAGGTACGGCGGGAAAGATGAGGCGGGCCCCAGGCTGCAGAGGCCGTTCAGGGAGCTAGACTGCTCTCTGTTCCGTGGACAAGTCCCTCCAGCCCTGGCCCTGGCCATTCTCCCTGGCCGTTCCCCATGCCCGAAATGCTCTTCTCCCTCTTCTCCGTCTCTTGGCTTCCTTCAGGTCCCAGCTAAAATCCCACCGTTCTAGTGCCCTCCCTCTTAGTTATTTCCTATGTGTCGTGCACAATTCCTGGCACACAGCAGGCACTTAATAAAATGTTGATTGACTGATTGATTGATTGATTACTCAGCAAGCGTGGAAGATTTTTTTGAGCAGGTGAATGAAAAGAACAGTTTGTTATTGTTCTGTCGTGTCCAACTCTTCATGACCCCGTGGACCACAGCCCACCAGTACTGTCCGTGGAGATTTCTTGGCAAAGACACTGGAGGGGTTTGCCATTTTCTTCTCCAGTGTATTAAGGCAATCACAGGTTAAGTGACTTGCCCAAGGTCACCCAGCTAGGAAGTGTCTGAAGCCAGATTTGAACTCAGGTCTTCCTGACTTCAGGCCTTGTGCTTTGTGCACTGCACCACCGAGCTGCCTCTATGTGTACAAAATATTGTTCTGACAACATGTGAAGGGGATTGCGTTGGACGGGAAGAGTAGACAGAGGTGGGGAGACTCGTTGGGAGACTTGGAACAGTCCCAGTGAGTGTTAATGGCGGCTTCTGTTAAGGGGTGCCGATGGGAACAGAACAGAAGGGGAAGGATTCGAGGGATGGATAAGGCCTCGTACAGTAACCTCCAGGGTGAGGCGTGTGAACCAGCATTAATGGTGAAATGGGGTGGCCACGAGGAGGGTGAGTTTTAAGGGGAAGGTTAAAGGTCATACTGCAGACTCCTCCTCCTCCTCCCCTCCTCCCATGTACTCTGGAGAGTGGCCGACCTGTTCAATGGGTTTTTCCCACTGGCAAGACTGTTTTAAGCAAATCCTAATGTATTCCTTCCTCTTTGCATTAATTTCGTAGGTTTGCAGAACTCAGGAGCTCACCAATCCTGGGATAGCGGACGTCGCCATCCGGCCAGATGGGAAGATCCTGGCGACGGCGGGCTGGGATCATCGCATTAGGCTCTTTGGCTGGAAGCAGCTGAAGCCTCTGGCAGTTTTGGACTACCACAGCGCAGCTGTTCACTGTGTGGCCTTCTCTGATCCTGGGCGGCCGGGCGAGCAGCTGCTGGCTGGTGGCTCTAAGGACCAGCGCATCAGTGTCTGGTCAGTGTATAACCAGACCTGAGAGGAGCCCCTCGTGGGACCTTCCTTAGTCAGCGGCTGAACAGGGGCCCCCAGGAGCAGCGATGGACGGGGGCTGGACTGGGCTTGGCAGTGGTTTGTATGAATTCAGCCTGGACACACTTACCTTTTCTCTTTATAAAATACTTTAGGTCCGGGGGAGGTCCCATAAGACACTCAGCCTGGCGGAGAAAGATCTCTTTCCAACTCTGTCTCATTTCCAAGATACATAAGAAACTGATTGAAATTTCTAAGAATAAGAGTCATTCCCCAATAGATAAAATGGTCAAAGGACGTGAATAGGCAGTTTCCTAAGTAAGAAACTAAGCTATCAATAGCCATATGAAAGACATGCTCCAGGTTATGAATAATTAGAGAATTGTCAATTAAAACAACAGCAAGGTTCCATTTCACACCCATCCGATTGGCAAAGTTGACAAAGAAAGTAAAATAATAAATGCTGTTAAGGAGATGCATTAATATCCCACTATTGGAGTTGTGAATTGGTTCTCCCATTCTGGAAAGCAATTTGAAACTACATCCAGAAGGTTACTAAATGATGAATTTCATCGACCGGCGATAACCACTACTAAGCCTATACTCTAGAGGGATCAGAAATGGATCCAAATGTACAGGAATATTTGTAGCAGCTCTCTTTCTGGCAGCAAAGAATTGGAAACTGAGGTACAGGTGCTCATCAGCTGGGGAATGGCTGAACAAGTTGTGATATGTGAATGTGTTGGAATGCTGTTGTTCTATAAGAAAAGAGAAAGGGCCTCCCCCGTAGATAAAGAGTCCCGGGCAGTACCCATTTAGCAAGTTTGTTTTTTTTTAGGGATGTGATCTTGTCTAAGATTCCATGAAAGATACAAGAGGTTCTGTTAGGGACAAAACTCTCCCGCCATGTTGAGGCAATAAATTAACTCAGTGAATACTTGTTGTGGTCCTGCTTAGCAACATGAGTTTAGATTCAACCCCAGAGAAACTCATGGTCCAAGCTGGGGGATGCGTTATAAACACAGATAGTTATAATACACAGTGGCACTGGGTAAGTGCTTATGGAAATGAAGGAAGGAAGGAAACAAACATTTATTAAGCACCCACTATGGGCCAGACACTCTGCTGTGATCTTTACAAATATCTCATTTGATCATCACAACATCCCAAGAAGGGTAGGTGCGATTTTCCTTGTTACAGTTGAGGAAACTGAGGCAGACAGTTAAGTGATTTGTCCAGATTCACCCAGCTCTTGAGTATCTGAGGCCAGATTTGAACTCGGGTCTTCTGGCTCCAGACCCAGTACTTTGTGCATGTGGCATACTTAGCGGCCTTGAAAAGAGGTGAATGAAATGCTGCGTGATGTCCATGCTGAAAACATCCTCGTCCGTTCTGCAAGAAAAAACAAAACAAAACAAAATAAAACATAATGGCCACAGAGGAGAATAAACCACATTCCAATCACAGAATCTCAAAAGTGGGCTGGCCTGAGGAAAGACCGAGGCCCAAGTAGGCCTGAGCAGGAATTTCAACCTTCCCAACGGTTCACACCTTCACTTTGAATCCCTGCTATCATGGCAGGCTCACTAGCTGCCATGGCAGCCCACTGCAGAGCCCCTCCTTTTAACTCCCCTTGTTCATTTCATAAGACTAAGGATCATTTCCTCAGTATCATGGGGTCTAGAATTAGATTGTAAGCTCCTTGAGGGCAGGCCTTGTCTTTTACCTCTTTTTGTATCCCTAGTTTAACATAATGCCTGGCACAGAGTAGGCACTTAGTAAATGTTGGTTGATGGAAGGAAAGGACCTTCATTTAGCAGAGAAGGAAACCAAGGCCCAGAAAGCAAGAGGGATTCGCCCAAGGTTGTAAGTAGTGGAGCTGAAGCGCCATTTCGGGAGTCTCTCTGCCAGCACTGCCCAGGCAGCAGGAAATCAGCTCTACAGCCAGCTTTGGGGTGAGCAGCGGCATCTGAGGAAGGAGGCCCGGAAATGACTGGATGGGCCCAGCCCCATGGAATAGATGCCCACTTCTGGGTCGCCGGAGCTCTGGGGCCTCGAGATGAGCAGCCTCGGAAGCCCCCCGAGAACAAAGCCCAGCAGAGCTTTTGGGAGGCGAGCTCTGCTCTGCCCCAGAGACTCCTTTGTGAACGGGTGATGAGAAGTCAAGTGTTTCCCACCTGTACCTTTGCCAAGCAGCCACAAAAGCACTGTTTGCACACAGAAGAAAAAAGATTCCTTCAGGGGATTCTTCAGGAATACTTGATACTCAACTAGGTAGAACTTCTGAAAAATCCTCAGGTTGAAAACATTAAGTTGGCACAGGCCAAAACCTTCCCACTGAGTCTCAGGGCCGTAATGGTGAGCCAGCACTGTCTGACACCCAGGTGAATCTTCTCCTTGAGTCCGTGTTCTTTACAGGAGGGAACAGATGTGTTCCCTCTCCCACCCTGGGACAAGGGCTCTGCTGTCATACTTGTTCCTTGGTGTCCTTATTCCTGCTATGCGCTGCTGTGTACAAAGCGATACCTGTGGCTTGTCCAGGAGGGGAGAGCAGCTAAATCCTGAAGCCACCATTCCTGCCCTTTGTACCGTGGCCCCCTCCTCCCTTTCCCAGTCTTCTTACACCCGAGCCCCCCATATGTCCTCTTTGATCCAATGCCCCTGGCCTCCTGGCTGTTCTTCAAACAAGACCCCCGGCCTCCTATCTAAGGCTGCATTCTCTGTGACTGTCCCCCATGCCTGGAAGGCTCTGCTTCCTCTGCTCTGTCTCCTGACCTCCCTGGCTTCCTTTAAGTCCCAACTAACGCCTCACCTTCTATAGGAAGCTTTTCCCTACCCATCTTGTAAGCTCCTTGAGGATAAGGACTCTTCCTGTATCCTCAGTGTTCCTCACAGTACCTAGCATATTGTAGCTGCTTAATAAATGTTTAGTGATTGCACTCTTTCCCTCCCCCCCCATTTAATTAACTAAGTGTTAGCTCAACACCTACTTTGTGCCTGGAACTATGGAAAGGCGGGGGGGGGGGGGGGGGGGGGAGAACAGGGCACCAGACTAGAGTGGGGGGCTCAGCCCCTGTCCTCAATTGGGAAATGAATGAATGGCTAAGAAGAAACTGGAGAAAGCTCCCACAGGCTCCTGGCCATCAAAGCTGAAAAGGATGCCTTTGCACTCTGTCAAACTCCAGTTGGCCATGTGACCCTGGGCAAATCACTAAACCATTCAGTTCTCCAAGCAATCTGAAAATAAAACAGTGGTTTCAGATCTACTTTGATAGATGGGATTCCCTGCAGCAGTGAAATCCTAGGTCCAGATCCAAAGTTAAGAAGAACATTTACCTGGAATCTTGTGAATCTTATCAAAAGGGCTTTAAACGAAAAGGGGGAGGGAAGATGATGCTTCTCCTTCCGTTTGGAGGAACAAAAGGTCAAGAATCTCAAGATGATAATGGAAAAAAAAAGAATCTACCACATTTTAACCTGTAGTACAAAGCAGTAATCATTAAAGTGATTTATTACTGATTTTAAAAAAAGAGAATGATCAAAGGTACACAGCATACAGAAGCAAACAAATAGCAAAGTGTTTGACCCAAAGACTGCAGTTCCTGGGGGAAGGACTCACTATTTGACAAAAACTGCTGAGAAAGCTGGACGGTAGTCTGGCAGAAATTAGGTTTACATCAACACTTCACACCATGCACCAAGATAAACTCCAAATGGATACACAACCTAAATATGAAAAGTCACATCATAAACAAATTAGAGAAGCAAGGAAGAAATTATCTTTCACATTTTTTGACAGGAGAAGAGTTCACAACTGAACAAGTGATGGAAAGGATCATGGAAGATAAAATGGACAATTTTGATTATATAAAATTTTAAAGGTTTTGCAAGAACAAATCTAATGGAAAAATTAGAAGGAAAGCAAGTAACTGTTGGGGGAAGAGGGGAAATCTTTGCACAAGGTCTTCTGCCAAAGGTCTCACCCCAATTATATAGGGGAACCTATTCAAAGTAATAAGACTAAGAACCATTCCCCAGGAGAGAAATAGTCAAATGCAGTTTTTGAAAGAAGAAATCCAAGCTATCAATAATCATGGGGAAAAAAAACTTATTTAAATTAATAATAGAGAAATGCAAATTAAATCAACTCTGGGGTTCCACCTCACACCTATCACACTGGCAAAGATGACAAAAGAAAGAAATGACAAATGCTGGTGATGTAGGAAAACTGGTACACTAATGCACTATTAGTAGAGCTGTGAACTGGTCCAGCCATTCAGCAAAGTAAGCACCATAAGGTCCATGCTCCAAAGAGACCTTTCTTTGAGAGAAAAGATCTTTATGTACAATGACAGTCCTATATGCAGTGATAACAGCATTGTAGAGAAAAATAAGAAACAAACAATATTGTCATTGTAATGTTTGAGCAAAACCCCTGATAGTAAGAAGAAAGCTGAATTGGGGAGCAAGTGTCCCGGCTGGTACAGAGAATGAAGGAATGGTGAATCAACCCAAAAATCCATTGGATAAAATCTCTGATAAAAGTCAAGTCACCAATGATTGTCGTAATGATAACTGCATCCTTCAAAAGGTGGGGGAGCTAATGATGGGAAGTTTTATTCTCGATCTAATTCTGTTTAACAAGGAGGAACTATTTGCTGCAAAGAAAATGATGGGAGCCCTGGGGGAAAGTGACTACCAAACTGAAGGTCTGCAGTTGTGTTGACCGTGTTGTATGCCTGTGGACAGTCTGCCAACACCATGCCAGGAAACTGAATCGCTTCCATTTGAATTGTCTTAGGAAGATTTTGAAGGTCACCTGGCAGGATCAGATACCAGACATTGAGGTCCTTTCTCAAACTGAACTGCCAAGCATTCAAACTCCACTGTAGAGAGCACAACTCTGATGGGCTGGCCACCTGGTTCAAATGCCAAACTTACATTTGCCTAAAAGTCTATTTTATGGAGAATGCATGGAAGGCAGGCATTCATGCGGTAGTCAGAAGAAGTGATACAGGGACACTCTCAACTTCTCTCTGAAGAACTTTGCAGTCAGTTGTGAGACATGGGAGGCACTGGCATGGGACTGCCCAGCATGGTGTGCCCTCATCAAAGAAGGGGCTGTGCTCTATGAGCAAAGCAGAATTGCAGTAGCTCAAAAGAAACATGAGATGCACAAATCAGAGACATCTCCATCCTAAATGTTCATACAGACTATTTGTGCCTGACCCGTGGTAGTGCCTTCCAAGCTCATGTTGGTCTGATCAGCCACAGTTGGACACACTGTAACTTGACCACAACATGTCGGTCTTCTTTGAATACAAAGGACAACAACCAAGCTTAGCACAGTGCCTGGCATATAGTCAGTGCTTAATAAACATTTATTGATTGATTGATATGGGCAGTGAAAGAATAAGGGCTAGACTTGGAATCATTTGTGTAATGATGGTAATTGAAAACATTTGAGTTGATGAGATCACCAAGTGAAACAGTATGGAAGGAGAAGGAAAGAGGGTCCAGGACAGAGCCCTTGTTGAACTCCCACCATTAGCAGGTGTAACATGGATGAAGATCCAGCAAAGGAGACCGAGGAGGAGGGATAAGAGAGATAGGAAGAAAACCAAGAGAGCAGTGTCACAAAAACTTAAAGTATCAAGGAAGAGAGAGTGGCCAACAGTGTCCAAGGCTGCAGAGAGGTCAAGGAGAAGGAGAATGGAGAAAAGGTCATTGGGTTTGGCAACTAAGAAGTCATTGGTAACTTTGGAGAGAGTAGTTTTGATGGAATGATGAGGTCGGAAGCCAGACCACAAAGGGTTTAGAAGACTCTGAGAAGAGACCATGTTGAGGCCCTTGTAGATGGCTTCCTCAAGGATTTTAGCCATGAAGGGGAGGAGAGTTCAAGTGTGCCTTTGTCACCCCTTGCTCTGCAACCTCC